CACCATCAAATATTTGTCCCTCATGTGTTCAGGTTTGGAGGTAAACCGACGTTTTCGCACGCAAAAAACATTTTTTTCTACATGATATATATATATTCGGAATCAGCGCGAAAAACGTAATCAAGTGACGTATGAGTCAACAATTTTGTGCCGATATATTTGGATTTTGTCAAAATCCTGCCCGTGAAAAGCCGTAGTAATGAAAATTTTTAATTGGCCTTTGAAAATGTATTTTAATAGCAGCCGAGAGATCTATAAAAAATTTTCTTGAGGTTTTCGTGTATGCTAATTGCGAAAGGAGGAGCTTTCCAAAGTTCCAAAACCGTTTTTAAGAGGGTTTCCACAGACTGGATCTCCAAAAAACTCTTTGAAAACCACTTTTTTAGAAATAACACACCCGAAAACCTCCAAGGAAAGGTTTTTGTGGAAGTTCGGATTGCTTTCAGACCACATGTCCGCCTGCTCTAGCAAAAAATGCCCACTGTGCAATGGACTAAACATTTTGCTGAATATATTCGCTGACTCCATCGACGAGTTAACGCTTTTATAGACAGTCATAGTACCAGCATCATCATGTCCGATCTTTTTCCGGTATTGCAGCTAGTGAGAACACTCACTTTTTGTTTGTGAAGCATTTCTATAAGTCTTTTCACAGTCAATATTATCACTTCCTCACGATCGGCAATAAACACTCGGTTTTCTCGATTTTTATCCGGTCCAGGACAAAGTCGGAGCGGCCATCATCTATTTGGTCCGGCTTGGTCCCAGCTTTTAAAAACAGTTTCTCGTTACATCATAGAAATGGCTCTTCGAAAAGGAGGAGAAAAAGTACATTCACTAGAAATGAGCGAAAGCAATCGCAGCACAGCCAAGATATTTGAGCGAAGTTCTTTTAGCTGAAACGCTCAAAATTATCTACTGTCATGATGAAAGTGTTACTATTCTGAGTAGATTTCACTTTGATTTCGAATAAAGCATGTAAAAGTTTTTCACTTTCGATCTTAGCACTTGCGATTGTAGATAAATACATCTAGTTTTTTATAATAGTAAATAGTAGACACGGACTTTCTTTTGTTGTAAAGAAACTAGGCAATTATGAACCTTACTTGCGATAAAAGATTATTTTATTATTTTTTAAGACAATAACAAAAGAAATTGGTCTTATTACATTGGGCAATAGTGGTGTTGGTAAAAGCTTTTTAGCTAATGTATTATTAGCTTCAGAAACATTTTTACATAAATTTTCAATTAATTCTGTAACACGTAATACAGAATATAAAGAACTTTATATTTCCAATACATCATTTGCTATATTTGACGTACCCGGTTTAATTGAAAAAAATCAAGAACGTATAGAATCGAATAAAACACAAATTTATAAAGCATTTGAAGAACGACCGACTTCCATTATATTATTTGTATTTAGTCAAACAGGTGGTCGTATACGTGATGAGGATCTTGTTGCATTTCAAGCCATTAGTGATGCATATCCGATGACATCGCAATCATTAGTATTTGTTATTAATAATATACCTGATTATTTACCAGATAAAGAAAATTATGAAGGTGAAATGATTTTCTTTTTAAAAGAAATAACAAAAATGAATAAAATTAATGTTTGCTTTTTGAATCAAGTACAAAATGATCAAAACTATCGTTTAAATTTAATGAATATGCGAATAAAATTAACACAGTTTTTATTAAACTGTATACCACAGGAACATATAAAACAGCATGACATTATATTACAAGCTGACCAAATAAAAGATTTAAAACAAATTGTTAATGATGTACAAAATAAGTTTTCTATCGAAAAACAGCAATTAGAAGAAGAAATACGTGAACAGCAAAAAATTTATACGGATAAAATGAAAAAACAACAGTATGATTTTGAACAAAAAGTACAAGAAATGCAAAAACGACAAGAACAACAATTTCGAGAACAACAAAAACAACAAAGTGAAGAAAAACATCAACGACAATTACTTGAACTAAAGCTAAAAGAACAAGGTGCATCTAGTCACCAATTACAGGAATTATTGAATCAAGGTTTCATCAATAAAGGATGCCCGCTGCCAGAAAAAAGGATAAGCAATAAAAGGAAAAGCTGACGAACGACGGCAAATTCGGACTCGAGAGGCACAGAATGAAACGAAAAAACTAATAACGTAAAACTTGATGTATTCAACTTTTCGAATACTCTAATCTATATTTTCAACTTTTATAATAGTATTCTCTGTTGAACCAGGTTAGAGCCTGTTTATCGACGGGATAGCTTACAACTATAAGCGCCTTCTTCCACGTAACCACCCAATACCGCCTACATATGTAAGTATAGACCAAAATACTTCGAAAAATTGACAATATAGATCTTTGTTTTTCAAAAGCTGAAGACATTTTTCAACTTTTAAAAAGCTGAAGTGAATCTTCAGGTTTTATGTATTGTGAAAACAGATGGCCACACAAATTGCATTAAAAAACTATTCGTTATTACCCGGTGTTTGAGATACTTTTATACTTTTAAAGTTCTTTCGTTTGATTGTAAGTCAACGCGACAAGACACGGAGAAAATAAAGGTGTAGAGTAATCAAGGACGTAAGTTTTGGGGAGAGGGAGTCGGACGTTGTCCTTAATATTTGAAAGTTTTTAGATTTACTCAGAAAAACTCATTGAAAAATCGTTATGCACAACCTCGGGTTAACCTCCATACCATGCAAAATAATTTATTACCGCCCAAAATTCAGTCTCTGTTTACTGCTCTAGAACAAATAGACCTTTTTTCGTTCACGGTTTCTCACTTTCTGTTTACAACACCTTCTTCCCACCCTTAATCGCTCACGATTTTCATTTCACACTTTTGCTTAACCGTTTTTCTGACTTTCTTTATTTTTTAACAAAAAATTGATTTTAAAAGAGGTTTAATTTTTTTTAAAGACATAGATCCGACTCTTGAACAATGTCGATGCTTCACCTCTATTCAAAGCAAACAGAACTGCTTCGTATCTCAGATAAGCTAATGCACTGGTACCTTTTGCAGTGTTTTTGGTACTTTCGATTTCACTGTAAGTTTTCTATATTTCTCGATTGTTTATTTTAATTTTACGGTTTTTCTCCTACAACATGCGGTTTCACGCCTCATTTCACAATGTTTTTCCCCCACATTTTTTTCGATTGTTTTATTTTGCAACCAAATCTAAATGCGACTCGTGCTGAATCCGCTGACACTACTCAACATGAACAGAACTTTTTCGCGTTTCCCACATATGCAAAATGCGCCAAATCGTAGTTATCCAATGCACATTGCAATTTTTTATACACTTTTTAGTTATATTTTTCGTTTTTCTTTCACATTTTCGATTTTACGCGTACTCTTTTTGCAAAATTTCTCACTTCACGATGTTATAATTTCACAGAGTTTTCTTCAACAACATGCGATTTCAGGGTTTATTTCGCGTTTTTTATTTTAATCGTAACTATTTTATGTTTGCCCAAGAGCTCAATTCATGATTCTAGTCAACTTTTCGATAATCGCATGATGTTAAAATAATAACGAGAGAATTATCTTAATTTAGACAGACCTCAGTAAACTTTCAGTTCACGGTTAAGATACCTATAAGTTTTGCGAGTCTTATTTAACAGGTACTTTATATAAAAAAGCTTTTGCGCTATAGAAGGTTGAAAAAGGTTTTGTAGCGGTCCTGGAAAAGCCAGGATGGAGGTGTATTTGGAATTTTAGGTTCGGACAAAGAACGAGAGGAGGGGAGTCGTAAACCTCATTTTTTTAAGAAATTTTTTACAAATAACCCATAACAAGTACAAGCTGCGCAAGCATATCGTGAAGAGCTACAGAAAAATGAAGAAAAATTCCAGCAACGATATCGAGAGCAGCAAATATTGAGTAAACAAATAGAACAATCATATGAAAAACAAATAATGATACAACAAGAAAAGGTTCAAGATTTAAATGAACAATACAGAAAAGACAGAGAACGTAGATTTGATGAACTTCGTGATATACAAAACGCTAATATGCAGTTCCAGAAACAACAAATGGAACAACAACAAAAAATATCACAAGAACAACTTCTGTATTTTCAGCTAATTGATGACAAATTGAAAAAGGATACACACTGTAACATCGCATAGGAAAAAACATCCGAAAGAAAGACCGACTTGATTGATAGATTATAAAATTATTTGAACAACTTTTATATATTTTTTTGCAGTTTAACCATTTTTTAAATTTTTGTACGTGATCAATTAATTGGCTTCACAAAGTAATAAATTTGATTTTTAATTGGGCAATGAGAAAATCGAAAAATTTTGTTTTAGCTTTGCGGTTATGACCTAAGAGCCATTGAAGATAAGCCACGATCTAATGTGCTCAATCGACTATTTCAGATTTCTTCCAAAGTATGGAACTTATTTAGACCAGACATTTTCAGACCACATGTCCGCCTGCTCTAGCAAAAAATGCCCACTGTGCAATGGACTAAACATTTTGCTGAATATATTCGCTGACTCCATCGACGAGTTAACGCTTTTATAGACAG